GGAAACAGCTGGCCGAAGAGAAGCAGAAGCGGGAGGAAGCAGCTACAAAGATTCAGGCCATCCAACGTGGGAGAGCCGCTCGAAAAGATAGAGCGGAGAAGAAGGGTGCTTTCCGGATTCCGACAAGTCGCGATGCCAAGGTGGCTGCAGTGCCAGCTGTCAGCTCGATCGACAATGGTGTCGAGAGTGACGAACGCGAAAAAGAGAAAGCCGCTACCAAGATTCAGGCCCTTCAGCGTGGCAGAGCTGCCCGAAAAGATGCCGCAGGCAAGAGGGAGGCAGCTTTCCGGATCCCGGCCAGTGGGGACAGCCGGAAAGACGACACCAGGCCTGAGCCCACACCAGCTGCCAGCAAGGACGCAACGGAGCAACAGCGGGAAGAAGCAGCCGCCAAGATTCAAGCGGTTCAGCGCGGCAGAGCTCTTCGAAAAGGTGCAGCAGACAAGAACGCCGCCGATGTCCTCACCATTCAGGCAGCCGGGCTTGATGACTGCATGGTTTGCTCTGGTACCGAGATCTGTGTAGATGGAGGTTCTTTTGCTCAGCGTCGTGCTGGCTAGGATGACGGGTAACGGCTAAGCAATCTTCGTGGGATACTCTGCATGTTCGCGACGACCATGGAAAGCTGAATCGTCGTTGCTGGTATACCGCATTGCCGAATTACTGCAGTCTGAGGCCTTTAGGCAGCGCAACTCGGTTTTGGTCAAACTTCTTCTGCAGCGTGGATGCCCTCAGCATAGTGCTGCCTTTATTCGAACGACGCAAGTTGCCACAATGGAGAACAGATTCTCGTCTACCCGCTCTAGTTGGCACTGCGTTATTGTGTCACATCTCGGTGGCCGTGTCGAAAGCATGCTTCAAGATGGCTGTCATTGACGCGGGTATTCTGGACAGTTTATCTAAGTTTGGTTTCATGGTTTCACCCTAAACTGCAAGCCCAAAGCACTGACCCCCAAATCCGACACCTGAAAGCTTTTCGATCCCCGCCCTCACCGCGCCTGCTGGGTCGAAGGCGAAGGAAGAAGCAGCAGCGGCGTCCCTCGCCCGACTGTTCGGTCTGGGGTTGCGGGTTTGGGGCTAAGCTTGAGCTTCGTAGCTTGCTTAGCTTTGTTTCCAGTTGCAAGGATTGATGTCAGCTCTTTCCTGAAGGTTTCTGCCTTGAGGGGGCCTGGAAGAGGGTTGTTGGGGTCCTGTCTATGAACACCCACACGACGCACAGAGGATCGAGGCATGAAGAGCTGCGTTTCTACATCAATGTTATGGAGCTGCCTTTTTTGAGAGAGCTGCGCAGGCTTCAGATTGTGGGGTGTATCTAGGCCTGCACATCATGGGGGAAAGATGCAGAACGCCCAGAGCCCAAACATCGCGTGGAGAGCACCCATGCAAGGCACGCAGAAGCTGAAGCAGCCAAGGCGAGCATGGCAGCATGTGAAGGTTTCGGCAGCTGAGCAACTCAAAGCCGCTGCCCATGCGTTTCGCAGCCTCAGAGCCCTAGAAAGCTGAATTCGCAAAACCAGGAGAAACCTTGGCCCACTCCGCCACCTGTGCAGGCAGCCATCCAAGCAGCCGCGCAGCAGCGACTGGAAGCAGAGGCCCGAGGGAAACGATTGCAAAAGGCACGCAAGCCTTGTATCAGTTCATATTCGGTTCGTATGCTTGAGGTGCGGGTGCCCGTTCTTCGATGTTCCCTTCCGTGGCAGGCCGAACTTCAAGCAGCCGCGCAGCGCCGCGCGGAGACTGAGGCGGCGGAGCACAGCAGCCGGGGTCCCCTCTAAAAGGTTATGAAGGGCAAGAGATGGCGGAGAGGATGCGAGAAGTTCTTCAAGAGTTTTGCGATAGTTCCGGTATGTTCCGGTTTGAATGTTTTGGCTGGGCTGGGAGATGTCGGGAGATGGGTTCATGGCGGGCATGGCAGGGTATCTTGTTGCGCCGAAGAGTGGATGTGCAGGGGGCTTCGAGTAGCCGAGTATAGCCGTTCTCCTCACAGGCAGCGTGTGCGGAAATCAAAGAGAAGGCGAGGCCCTCGTGTCTTTTCGCCTGTGTAGCTCGGCTCTTGCGCCAATGCCTCATGTGGCCGCCGTGCGCTCGCGTCCTCTACCCAGGTCGCGGCGGAAGAGAGCCGCACCGCAGCAGCTGCCTCCGCCCGATCTGAGGTTGCGGACAGTGAACGGCTTTTCTTGACATGCGCAAGGTGAACGGCAGGGGGAGAGCACATGGTGAGCGCCGGACCGCCTGCGCAGGAGGAGGCTGAGCTGCGCCGACTGCAGCAGCAGTCGGAGGAGATGGAGCAGGCATCCGCTCGCCTTCGCTTTGCAAGAGTTTTTCGATTAAGCTTTTCTTCGGGCCCGCACTAAGAGGCATCAGGAGCTGGTCGTTGCCCAGCATCCCTGAGTGCACTGGCAC